AAAGTAGCCTTGGGATGCAGGTAACTAGCCTTTAGATGGCTATGCTAGTTGCTAATCCAGAGGTGCTACCGACTAGTGAAGTCGGTCACATTCCAGTGAGTTGCCAGAATATTAATTATTTGTGTCGCTGGATGAATATCTGAGCTCAGTAAGCGACTCGTCTCGTAGCGCGATAAGGAAAAGATCTGCCGACCTTTAAGCAGCTAAATCAGTCTCAGACAGTGACGCAGGGATCCTCTCTGGTTTAATTTACAGCAGCAGCAGCAGCAGCAGCAGCGTTGGATATAAAGTCCTGAGTCACGTCCAACTCTTCCATTCGTCAGAGCCAACCAACATAACTGTCTTAAAATCTGCCTCCTTCATTTTTTCAGTCGTTTATTTGATCAAAAACTGTGACGATCTGCTAAATAATGTCAGGTTTCTGCTGTTTTATTTAAAACTATAGACTGAATATCTTCGAGTTAAACAAAACTCCAGCTGAGAGGACGTCACCTGGATTTTGATCTGAAGGTTTTTATTTTTTATTTTTTGCCATTTCACATATAATAATGAATCAGTTCTTCAGAGTTGCAGTCACAGTGGTTCTACGGGGTGGAAAGTGGAACAGTGGTGAGTTCCTTGCAGCCAGTCTGTCTGGCAGCAAGTCATGAGAGGGACTCACATCAGTAGTTCAAACATGGCCCTGTCAATGATTAGTCAGTACCGGACACATTCAAGATCACTGAGTTGCAGAGCAGTAATTTAGTCTTTAAACCCTGACTCCTGAATGCACCTCTGCTTCCTCTCCTGCAGAGGGCGCTCTTAGTCTGTCTGCTGTGGCTGCAACCCTTCATCACCATTGATCTATACTACGACTACCACTACTAATAATAATGTCATTTTATAAAGAACACCTGCCTTTCTAACCTGCCAGCTGGTTTTCTGCCTTACAGGATTAATGACCGAGACATTTATTAGTCGTGTAATCGGGTCACTCAGGGTTTATGGTTCATTGGTTGGACTGTTGGACTTTGTCGTGTTGAATCAGGCGCTAATCAGGCGCTAAACCTGTTGGTAGGAAACGCTGCAGCTCTTTGTTTCTGTGCACGAAGGAACAAACCCCAGTTCTCAGTTTATCACCGTGTTTATGGTTTTTAATCTGTTTTAATTTGTTATCTTGACTTTATTTCTCAGATATTCTGCAACACTCTGCTTCTGCTGTGTTTAAATGTGTTTGACAAATAAACTGATGTTTACTTTTCCTCTAAAGACAGAACTTAGGCAGGACAATAAAACATGAAAAACAACTATCACATTTTATATGTGTTTTAATTGAATAGAGATGAAATTCAAAATGGCTGCATTAGCATATAATGCTGCGAGGTGTTAGCATGCTACTTAGCATAAACCCTAAAGCTAGCTAAGAGTGCTCAGGCTGGGATCAAATTATTATATTTGTATGCAGAAATTCTTCTTTATTAGACTACATCTTGTTCTTAGCATTGGTATCACATAAAATAACACATTATATTTGTATTTTCACTGAATAGAGATGGAATACAAAATGGCAGCATCACCATATAGGTAGTGCTGCTATGTGTTAGCATGCTACTTAGCCATAACCACAAAGCTCAGGCTGGGAACAACACAAATTGCACATTAATCAACATTGTACAACGTAAACGTGTAAGTCCTGAGACTGTAAACTACATCCCATAATAAAAACAGTTGATCTGCAACCACAAGGTCTGTTTAAATAACCAGACTGCTGTGGAGCTCCTGTGGTGACGCAAGGCTGTATCTCTGTCATGATTGGTCGATTTGGGTGACTGACACCGCCTTCAAATCGTTAGAGCCAATAGAATGTAGCGATAGTCACCAAAATGAGATTGACAGCACTGTTAGCCAATCAGAATCAGCAGGACGCCATCTTGCAGACGAGCCGCTTTCTCGCTTGCTGAGCAAGTGTTTACTAGTTAGCTCCTTTCGGCTAACGAAGCCTCCAAAAGACGCCCGGAATGATTTCAGTGTAACACAGGAAATAGTACTGACTGGTTCCGATGTGGATTTACTGATAAAATAAACTTTTTGCGGCTAAACAGCGAAGGTAAGAGACATTTTCCAGCTCCAGTTTGGGTTTGTGCTGTTCTTTGGGTTGTTTCTCGCTGATGCTTTGATCTCAGAGAGCTTTGATGGACATGTCTGGACTCTGTGGACTGTCTGCTTCCCTCTGAGGGCTGTTGGTGCCTTTAGCATAAAGTACCGACGCGCTGGATCCCTCTGGGGCTTAAAGGGTTAAGTTAGTTTTCATCTGTAGTCCCTTTCAATTCAATTAGAATGCTGGTGTGGAGGTTAATTGACAGATTAATATCACTTTTACCAGGTTTTAATGTACAGTAATTAGGCTAACTAGTGTCCGAGAGGGAATCCTTAGTTAGCATGTTAATTAGCATTAACTCCAAAGCCAGTTGGGATCAATAAAATGTACAAATTCCATCAATACGTGGCGAAATATTAAATTAGGAGCTCAATTTGGATGTTAATCAGTTCAATTTATTTGTATTTTTTTGCATTCACAGTTATGTTTTAATCTGACTGAATACAAAATGGTGCATTAGCATATAAATAGCGCTGCTACTTAGCATTAAACTCAGAGCTAGCTGAGACTGCTCAGGCTGGGAAGAATAAAATGTACAAATTTATCAATACTTGGCCAAGTTTTCCATTAATAGGCTGATGTGGAAGGTATTTATTTCATTTTTTTGTGTTTTCAGGTAAATAAATATGTTTCTTAATCACAGAAAATGTCACATTTTATTTTAATTTTAATCTAATAGAGACAGAACACAGAATGGCAGAAGTGCTAGCATGCTACTTAGCATAAACCTCAACAACAGCCCTCAGATCGGCATCATAACAAACCCTCAGATTTGATAAAGACTCAGCTAAATGCTAAGGTAAGAGTTCGGTGGAGAGTTTGTTCATTTTTCTGCTCCGTAGTTTGTGTTAGCTTGAATGAGCTAATTTTAGCATATGCGCTAGTTAGCATAGCCTTTAAAAAACGCTAATGAAAATCCGTAATTACAGTTTGAGGTAATATTATTTTGTCATTAGCCAAAATCGTGGCGCTACATAAGAATTAGTTGGTTTATTATAATTATTTCAAAACGTTTATTGGGGAATATTTAAATCACTTCCTGGTTGTGTTGTGGTTTCCTGGTGACCATAAAAACAACGACAATTTAAAAAAAATAACGAGGCAGGCAAAAAACAGTCAAACATCAGTGAGATTAATTATAATCTGAGTGAATATTGATTTGTGCGGCTGCTCCGACCCCCCCTCCTCTCCCTCCCGCCGCCGCCGTCACCGGAGCCCCTTCCCCCGGACACTCCTCTCCTCCATCTCCGAGCCTCACATGGAAACAGCCGCAGCTCGGAGCCAGCGCGGCTGCAGCAGAGCGGCCGATCCTCGTGCAGCCTGCCGGCCGTAGCGCACCGCGGGGCGGGGAAGCAGCGTCGCAGGGGGCGCGGCGGCGGCCGGAGGAAGCCGCGGGATCCTGGACGCGGACGCTGGAAAAACATCCGTCGATGCGGATTCGGGAAAAACGAGGAGCCGGTTCGTGGGTGAAGATGCGCCGCGGGAGGGACACCGTGTTCGCGCTGCTGTGGCTGATGTGGAGCCAGCTGGTGATCGCAGGTGAGATCTGCTGCTTCGATCACCGATATCGATGATTAACCATTGATCAGAGAAACAGGCCCGCGAGCCGAACATGAGGACAGAAGCTGAGCCGAACAGCCTCCATGAGCTCTGATGGGAAATACAATCACAGATATTATAGGATGTGAGCGATGCATTAATGCTGAAATAATTGGGTTTGCATTAAATTAAATACTAACATGTTCCTCATAAAGGAGGCAGCAGGAGATCCTCTGGTGTTCCTGTCTGTGTGTGTGATGGCTGGTAGAGTCTCTGTAAATGGATTTAATATAAAATAACCCTCATATCTGGACATATGTTGGCATTTCTACTGTTCATTTACATATTGGATATTTTTTGGCTCCATTTCCACAATGAATTCGGCCTAAATGTAATAATAATAAACATTAAAATCCTCTTTCTTCATTATTTTCTCTCAAAAATAGCCAAAATCAGGTTTTTTCCAACAAAGAGTTTTATGAAAAATCCGACGTTTTCTTTCCTTTAAAGATGCTGAACAGCTCACACAGACTTTTATCAGCACTACTGTGATCTGTAAAGCACGAAAAGAGGCAATAAAATGTTCAATTGTGTTCATATTTAACAGTAACTGGCATCATATGAGTGTATTGTTCTTTAATTGGAGCGTTTTGGAGGTTTTAAAGGCAGATTTGTGTTCGATTAACAGCAGATATTTATATTTAATGTGGATTTTTAATTTCAAAATGATCTCTGACGGTTATTGAAATGCTGCTGAGACCTGCAGGCTGCTGAGTGTTGGGGATTTTTTGTAATTGTTGATGAAATATCCTGATTTAAGCTGTAATTTGGTTAGTAAAGTTAAAAATCTGACTATTTCTACCGTTTCAAGTTGATAAATGGCCTCATTTTGATAATTAAATCATTTTTTTTATTACCAATTGTTTGGACTGTTGGAAATTAAAACAAAAATAGACAATAAAACCTAAAAAAACACAATAAAATGTTAAAAGAAGTGAATGTTAAACAGTAAATCCTCACTCTAGCACCAGATAAGTTATTTTTTTTTATCGTTCGTCTGGATGAACTTGTGAGATTTGTGGTGAATTAACAGCAGATAACGCTTTCTGTCAGTGATTTAAAACAACAATCATGACGTTTTCCTGTTGAACGAAGGTTGAAGTAAACCAGAGTTCTGCCGACGAGCTGCAGAACCTCCATTAGATGCATTTTTAGCTTTTCAAAATCGCTTCATTTCCTCCAAACTCCACCATTTTTTTTAACCTGACGTTAGATTTGTTCCTCCAGATTCTGTCAGTTGAGCACAATGACGTTAAAAATACGACTAATTAAAACCGTCCTTCATCAGCTGACTGGTGTGTTAGATGCTGCTCGACGTGGTCGTCCAGTTTTATGTCGGTTTGTTCTCAAAACGCTGAAAACGTTCCACCGTGTTGGGTTACAACGTCTCATCGTCATCTCAGACTGGTGTCGTGCTTTGTGCTAGCTTAGCCGGCTGGTGTTTGTGTCGCGAGGTTAGCCGAGTGTTCAGTCGACTCATGTTCACGTCTTTATTCCAGACTTCTACTGGTTTATCTCGTGTTACCCAAACAAGACGCCTTCAGTGTCGTAGAAACAAATGCGTCACGTTTTCAGGGTTTTGGCCTCAACGTGGTTCCTGAAGCTTCTTTCTCTTCTCATGTTGTTTTCCGTATTTGTTGTTGTGACGAAGACTTCAAATTCTGAACAACAACGTTCACATTCACAGTTATTTTCCGTCCACTTGTGAAGACCGTGGTAGTCGGTCAATCTGGAGATTCCAGTGACGTCTTCATGTTCTCTGATGGAACCATTGAAACATGAATTTTTGTCACAAAAAAACAACCATAAATTTTGGTTCTTTTTGCAAATTCGCTGTTACACCATACCTACTGTGAAGCATGGAGGTGGCAGCATCATGCTCTGGTTCTGTTCTGCTGCCAGTGGATCTGGAGCTTTACACAA